TGCAGGTTGGCACTGAGCTCCTGCGAAAGCACATGGAACTGCGGGAGGAGGCTCTCAAGGTGCGCCTTGGGTTCGCCCGGCGCGGCGCTCACTTGCGCGTCGATCCAGGCGTAGATGTCGCCGACGTCGTCGCCGAGGTCGGCCACCGTCAGCACCGCCGAGTCCATATTATTGCATATGGCGATCTCCGGTTACCATTAGCAGTATCCGAATGGCAACTCCGGGTGCGGCTCCGGCTTTGCTGATATACACTATTTGCGTATCATAGACGAGCAGTGTTGCTGCACGCTTGTCCACGCTCATCGGACAATCCTTGAGGAGAACGAAAGAATCGGAAGCGTAGGCACGTATGGTTGCCGTCACGTCCTCGCCTTATAGGGTTGTGCAAGTGTACCCTGTAGTAGACGAACCTGGGCGACGATGGGATGTCGGAGGAGCGACAACGCCGCAGACACGCGCACCAGCTTGTTGAACTGAGTCGCCGAGGAAAATGCAACCTCAAGGTTGGTGTCTCTCGCGTCGGTTTCGCCAAAAATGCAGGTGCAGGTGATTGCATGGTTGTGGCCATGACGCAGCCCGCGTCGCAATCCATCTTGAGTATTAGTGAAGTGCTGGCGTAGGAACAACGTCGAGCCCTTCGTGGTGTACCTCTCTTGTGTCGCGTGCGTATTGGATCGGAGAACGATGTGCTGGGGATGGCGCCACTCACCTCACGTGCGCCATCGTCCAAGTTGGTAACTAGAACGACAATCCAACGTCGTGCGAGTCGTACAGTGTAGATGGCTTGCTCGTGCTGTTTAGCACACGCGCATCGCCCATACATCGCCGTTGTGGATGACGATACATGCAACGACTACGATGGCTCGCTGCCTGTAGTACACTGTGTCGATCCTTGCTTCACCAGGTACTAGTACTACGTACCAGGTACGGGTGCAGATCTTGAACAGCCATCCTCCTCGCCTCTTTGGCATCCGGCTTCTGATTCGTGCGCGATCGCCTAGACAGGACGACGGCGCAACCGGCTCATACGTTATGGTCGACACAAACGGTACCCTGGAACGCTGCTAGAAACTTGCAACGGCAATAGAGTGCACAGATATTGTCCACAGAAGCAGTGACATTTAGCATCACGGTTAACGCCTAACTTTGCCATGACGGGCCGGATGTGTGCTCGTTCGTAACAGATCCAATCGTACTTTTCGTTGTCCCCGCCGTCAACCGCGCCCGAATCTACCGTGACGGAGACGTGTCTGGGCGCGTGTGTGTCATGGGCTCGGGCTGGTCGGCAGTTGTGGCATTGTGCCACGGAAATAGTGTGAAATATTAAGTGCGCGGTCGTGATGTGGCTTGCATGCCCTGTAGAGCGAGCGGCGGCCATCTCTAGGGAACGACCTCCTTAGCGGCGCTAGCTGCAGGCAAGTGAGAGCATCGCCGCCGTCCACAGCGGCAACGCGAGCGGCGAGGCGCCAAAGAGCCATTTCTCACGAAATGACCTACAGCGGCTGACTCGCCGGCCAGCTGGCGCCGATGCAATACAATGCGTTTCCGACAAGTGCATACAAACTTTGCATTGCAATTGTTCGATTCAATTAATTACGCGACACTTGACCGCATAGGTGCGACGTACTTACAAGGCTGCATACGTGAATTTAGTGATCGTGTAAGGTGCGATCGCACTTGAGCGGACTACAAGACATTCAGAAAAGGCAGATGGAGAGTAAAAAATTCTGCTGCTACAGTGTACCGTGGCCTTGCTTTGCCCGACGCGCAGTCGCCAGAAAGACCACCATGTCCAAGAAGTTCTTCCCGCTCTCGCCCGGCTTCTTCAAGTGCCCGCCCTTGAGCCGGCAGGAGGGCGAGCACCTCGTCGCGCTCGGGAAGCAGTCCAGCCTCGACTTTATCAAGCACGCCAACCTCGAGGCCAACAAAGACGTGGTCTGGAACGAGTTTGGCAAGAAGCAGAACGTCATGCTCTATCGCGGCGTCAACACCAAGCCGCAGGCGACGCACTTTGTGATGCTCTGCGCCGTCGCCGAAGTCGCCGGCTCGCTCGAAGAGGTGGCGGCCATGCATGCGTACAACACACCCGAGAAGCTGCGCAAGTACGTCAATGACTCGGAGGACCTCGTGGACATGGTCACGCTCTACGACCTGACGCCGCC